GGTTTTCATCATCCTCATAGCCTGGAGAGTTTTTCGGTGAGATTCTACATCAATTAGAAGAATTCAAGTAACCAAAATCGAGATTGTGAAGAAAACCAAAGAATGATCGATCACTCTAAAGAAGTTGATGATCTATACCTCCTTTGTATGCATCATCAAGCCATTGCAAGAATAGATCCCAGCATCGTGTAGAATTTTCACATCTCCATCGTTTATGATACCTTGTGCAGTCACTAAAATCAAAGTAACAAATACCAGATATGGAACTTTTCAGTTTTCACCAACAAAACCAAATAAATTGGGCAACAAGAGATATGGATCTGAGAGGTTCGAGTTGATTTTTCCCAGCGAAACTCAAAGGGATATGGATCTGATACATTGGAATTTTCAGAATCTAAGAGATTTAAGATGATTTTGCCCAACGAAAATTCACAGAAATTTCAGAATCTAAGAATTTCGAGTTGATTTTACCCAGAAATTCCAGCGAAAATCTTTGCTAAATCAACAGTTAGATGCACGATTCTATTTCAACAAGTCTCCATAAACGATTCAACTGAAGATTTGAGCTAAACTGGAAAACGCGATTAGAAACAGAGATTGACGCGATTAGAAACAGAGATTGAGCTTACATTGTTCAAGCATTGCAGAGAATTCACAGAAATTTCAGAATCTAAGAATTTCGAGTTGATTTTACCCAGAAATTCCAGCGAAAATCAACAGTTAGATGCACGATTCTATTTCAACAAGTCTCCATAAACGATTCAACTGAAGATTTGAAAGAAACAGAGATTGACACGATTAAAAATAGAGATTGAGCTTACATTGTTCAAGCATTGCACAGAAATCTTCCGCCATTTCTTCTCGTTCAAGTTCAACAGAAGCAACTCTAAGAGCAAATAAGATCCTTACAGCTAAATCAAACGAAGAATCATAACATAGAGAGATAAGAGAGAGAGATCATCGCTTACAATGGAGCATCACTCATCCTCGCTCTGGAAAATTAGCTTCACTTGAAACAAGAGTGAGAGAGAGAGGAAACGGAATTCTCTGGGTTTATAGTAGGCGGGATTCACCGGAACTGAAACAATGACTCAATTCCATTGAGTCGACTGATGGAATCCGTAACTGAATTTTCCATGGTTGCTCTGACGTGGCATTTTTCAAATAATCGAAAAACACTTTTATTTTTATCACGTAAGTAGAAGAAATTTTTTTTTTTTTTTACTGTCGACGTAATTAGAAGAATCTTATCCTCTCTTAAGTCTTAACATGGTATAACTCGACATTTTCAGCTAACGTTTATCATTTATTATGTATTTCGCATGCTATTGTTATTTTAAAAATTGTTATTTTTTTGGTTTCGA